CTGAGGAAACTTTCCAAGTCTATGTGCTTCCTCTCGATGACCTGGATTGCATATCAGATGACGACCCTGGAAAGTGCGCTTAAATAGTCGTAAATTCAATATTTTGCAGGCATGCATTTCTACTGTCTTATCCCAGTCCAGTATTCAAGAAATTGCATGCCGTAAAGTGATTGGGACGATTTCTAGTTTTTCCCAATCTGCCCAATCYAATATTTCATCAAAAATGAGCTTCACAAAGATAGAGAARAAACATATTTAGAGCCGTGATATTGAAATACTGGCTTTGTGTCAGTTRGTATAGTGAAAAACTTCGGTCTTTCGAACGGACGACAGTTTGGTCTGCACCCTCGGGCAGTTTTTCACTATGAAGCCGCTAGCTACAAATCGATACAAGGGGGTCCAGTGCGAAAAGTTCTATATCTTGCTCACAACTAGACGCTCTTGGAGCGTGAAGTCGGGCTAGCTATTTTTGAAAATTGAGAAAGACAGGATATTACTTGGATGCGCGTATAGGAGAACGAGTGAAAGGTTTTAAACACGATAAGATTATGATGTAATATTCTGTCTATAATATGATTATATGTGAATGTAAATTTTGGCGTAATATTTTTTTTACTTCTAATACATAGTGAAAGCAAGAATGCGTTTCACTTTAATTAATGTACCCTTCAAAACTGTCATATTCCAACTCATATTCACACGATATCTTTTTTGACGGCTTTCTGAACGAAGTTAAAACGATTGAAATATCGAGGCAGGAAATATGTCCTGCCTTTCTCAATTTTTTTTCGTCTAGTTCAAAATATGCAAAATTTCGTAAGACTTTTAAAAATAAATTTAAACATAAATTTGACCCAAAAGGGGCCCTAAAAGGTCATGTAAACCACACCGTTCTATGTGTGTCTAATTTGACAATTTTTAATTTCTTAATAGTTTAATAGTTTTCAGAGTGTAAATTTTTCCAAAAAAATGTTTCTCTCAAAAGTACCAGAAATACTGATGACACCCTCTTTCCACCACATCTCACACACAAGTCTCCATGTAAACATATTAGTTATAAATATAGTTATAGTACAACGACAATGAAAAAATATTCCGAGCTATTATATTATTGTAAACACATAAATCAACTCCTAGTCAAATGATATAAAGTGTAAGATTGTCCTGATAAAACTCTCTGCTTGACTTGTGCGAACATGTAGCTATCTATGATTGTCTATATATTACAATATGTAAAGCATGGGTAAAAACTCATACATATTAATGAGTTATTAATAAGCCTATTTGTTTATATCTGATTAGACCTTGATCAGATATGAAAGTCCATGACCCTAGGAAAGTTTCAATGTGGGATGACAAGATTGATTTAGAAAGTGATTTGCGCATGATCGGTTTGTCCCATTTATCTCAAAACTTATTTTTACGACCATTTCTCTAAGAATCTTAACGGATTTGAGTGTCAAATTTAGTGTTGGAGTTTCTTTAAGCCATTAATTTAAAACACTCGAGATCGTGTAATGATGTTAAAACGTACCTTCCCTTAGTGCAAGGATTACCTGCCTGTAAACCCGTTGCGTCTGTTTAGGTGTGGTATAGTCAGGCTTGAAAAGACTGGAAAATATGATACCGGAGTACGCTGTCTCSAGTCGACAGTTTGTTCAATTCCAAAGCGTGTAAAATGTGAAATCCATATCTCTGATGTATTGTACRCCTGACAATGCTGRTGAAACAGCTGACCACGTTAGCCGTAAATGTAAGAAAATCATTATYACACCACCTTTTCCCTTTTTCTATGACTCCCTTCTATTAGCTTATTACTGATCAGATGTGTAAAGTCTGTAAAGGTTATGAGGATCCACTCAGATTTGACTAAGAAAACAATGTAAAATTTTTTGTGGCGAGTGTAATTTTTCGCGCTCAGTGCCTGCAGAAACAAGCCGATATGTCGATAGCCCCCCGTYSAATTAGTCACTATTCAATCTAAATGATGGCATTACGTTTTCATATCATTATTTTTGAAAACATGGCCCTTGACCTCATAAGAAAAATCTGTTTACAAAGCGGKATCCGTTTATAAATCACCGAGAAGCTGGTGCTAACAGGTTTATTCACTCTTTAGACAATTCATGTCTGTGCAAATTCACAAGAAAAGCACATTTTCACTCGGTTTGTTGATAAAACCACCAGCAAATGGATATGTACTGTTACTATGACAACGTTAATGAATCGCTGGCTTCACTTCTGACACGTGTTACCGCTGGATAGTATTGTGTACACTCGCGGTCTCAGCAGGAGAAGTATTCGACCGGTTGAAGGTGCAAGAAATGACGCCGTGAGACAAGCGAACCAGAAACAATCACTTTATACCTTCTGAAATGGAAGAATCAAGCGACTTGGACCCCGAGAAATGTGCTATTAACCCTCAAAACACAGACATCGTTTTGCCATCAACAGCAGACTGTGAAAGGATTTCTTTGGTTTCAGATTTGTGGATAATAGTGTCTGTAATCACGTTCATTGCCGATGTAGGTTCGGATATTTTAGTTTGTGTACATTATAACGACCAGAATCTTGTGTGGTATTTCAGAATTACACTAGCACTTGTCGTAGCAGCATCGCTAGCCCTTCAAATATTCTCTGCAAAGTGGTTTATAGACGATCGAAAAAATTCTTGTAAACTGTTCTTCCTTCATGTCGCACAGTTGGGCCCGTTAGTACGGTAAGTGACTTCGAATTATTCCACTAAACTTGTACTTTGCGTCTTATTAACRACACAAGTCGAGAATTTGGGGTTGGGAAAAGTTAACACATCTTACGCTATCACATAAAATATTCCAGAAAAACCATAGGTCCTTATAGTTTGAGCTATTAACGATAGTTGAACACTCCACTGTCAGGAAATGTATCCACAAGGGTGATTCAAGCAATCGATTGGTCTCTYACATGAAAAGCAAAAAAATATTATATTCGTATTGTAATYACCATTTGCCAAGCTAATATAAGGGTATACAAATTGGTACAACAGCTTTGCTTAGAACGGAAACGATGAACACTAAGCCCGCCTTTATTCAATTATCAGAATTATTTTTGCTTCATATCATGTAAGCAATGTGTGTTTTTGGATCTTAAATCAGTGTAATTTTGAAAAGCAATATTACAAGAAATAACGTTAGTATTCCAGTCCGGGGCTGACCAGCTGCTACTAATCATYTTTCCTGTTTGCCTATTTGTAATAATGGCGTCACCATACGAACAGACAACGTGAAAACAAAAAGATTCCTACATAACGTACTTTCTTTGTAAAACAATCATGTAAATATACATTTATATGCGCTCATCTCTCCCCACATAACCCCACGATACCTGGCTCAATTGTAGACCGCTTCTTGTGTTCTTTACAACAATCTGACAGTCACTTGGAATATTGTAAATCATGTTTATTTTCATCCAATATATTTACGAGTCAGCTTTTTGATGATGAGAAGGTAGTTTTAGCTAACAATAGATGGCTAAAGTAACCGAGCGCGTCGGTCGACTAAAATAGCCATACAAAATCSCAACTATAGGATTAAATGTTTTGGGGCAACAAGAAAGCAAGCCAAAATATCTAACGTAAACAAGGGCGCTGTATATCGAAACTTGTTGGTAAAAGTGTATAAGGATTGCTATTTTTTCTTTGATTCGGACGAATGGTTATAAATATAAAGCATCAAAGGATCGTACTTCAGTATTCTGATTTATGTTTTATGGTAATTTTTATCATGGAAACAGATATTGGGCAAATAGTTTACGGTCGATTCGAAAGCCTTAGAAACCAATCGAAATCGAACGCATGGAATAGATTCTCATTCCATTCCCATTTTGATGACCGAACTTGMAAGAAACCAAATCGAGCCAAATGGTAAAAACACAACGTAGTGAAACGGTCTTGCACTTTGTTCAAATATTTTGTGTTTGGTTTATATTTTTTTGTGTGTGTTTCGTAATATAGTGAGTAGTGACTTTAAAATCACCCATAATCCCACTTGCTGACTCGAGGTGACGATTCGAAATAAAAAATTGAATATTATTTCCACAAATAATTAACCGTTTCTCACAATATTCATTTACTGACAAGTCTGCGTTTAGAAATTGAAAAAATGTTCGCAATACTGTTGTATTATTTAAGGTTTTGTTGTGCGAAAATAGTGCCTCATCTCACTAGGGGCATTAGTGTAATTAATAAAAAATGCAAATGAATCAAGGAAAACGCAAATATTTGAGCTGAACTTTTTCTACTTCTACCACTCTTTGTTTGTCTAGGCTTTCCGAGACAGTTTGGTAGGATAAATAGTGTATTTCTTGTAACGGTGGATCAATATTCATGACAATACATCAACGGCACACAGTATGACAACTGAACGTCATACTGACATGGACTTGCGCTCTAATAAAAAAAAAACAAACTTGAAAATAACAGCATTTTGAAGCATAAGATCAAAGTGAAACACTTTTTAGGTTGCGTTTTTTAGTGGTCTGTACTAATTAGATAGATGATGCGGAAGTTCTACCGAGAAATTACCTTGTAACACCAACTCATCCAATCAAGCATAATTTGTGCCCTCGTTACTTGTATTAGCTGTTGATTTGCAGGAAATGTTTGAAATCTAGGTGTGCATTTTGTGAGACTAGTGTCTATATAATTACTTTCAATGTAAAACCAATAGTTTTTTTCAATAGTGATCGGTTATTGATGTGYGGTGTAGATGTGCTTATTTATATTRTCACCTCAGCTTGTTATCTTTATAACTTACTCCGATAACCCAAAAAATATGTATATATATCAAGAGGGAAAGTCTTTATGCTTTAGCAAAGTGGTTATCTGGTGAGATCTTCTTCTTCTTTTTGGATTCAGTTTTATTCATCTGGTTGTTATTTTTTTTAATCAAAACAGAAATCCGGCGAATTGCTCCAATTCTCTCTCTCAGCTGTGCGCGAATTAATTTGTTGAGTTTTGGTCATATTGTTATGTTTGGTGTGCTGTTCTTATATATTATTTGCTAATAGCCGTGTAGTATATATTCAATATACACCTAATTGCTAAAACATCTTTACTTTACTAAAAAGACAAAGGAAAGTGTTCGGACTGTGTGATCTTCTTTTGTCGACGTTTTGATATAAGTTAACATGTGCAATTTCTCCGCAGTAATTACGTGCATTTCTGTAAGTAAAACCACATTATATATGCACAACGAGGTATTCTTATCTCTATTACATTATTGAGGTTGACCAGCCTCGCTAAAACGGTGAATGTATATGAGTTAAACAAAAAACAAAAAAAAAACAACAACTAGAAAGTGTTTTATTGGTTATAAATATCCGAGCAAAAGGCGAGGTCGACAAAAAGACTATTTTGATAATTAGACTGGGTTACTTGCTTTTTAAAGTGTATGACTGTTATTACACCAAAATATGGCATTGTTATTTTTGACCGACCTGTCAGTTCAGTACCCTGGAAAAAAYGGGAAAGATTTGTATCACTGATATGCGAAATGAAATCAGTCTGATAAGAGCTGTTSCAGAAACAATTTTTTCAATATTATGTCTCCTGGTTCCAACCCTGTGATGTTCGTACTGATAATTGAATATCGTGATATGGTCCATCCATCATGACGTTATCATAAAATATACTGGTTTTTATATATGCAGAACTGTGAAGAAAACATGAAATTGTTATAATTTCTAACGCAGAAAACAAAACTCCAATAAATCAGACAGTGATTTACGAGATTGATAAGGCTGAAAGAGCTATGATATATTCATATCAATAACAATAATTACGATAATAGCGAGACATATTTTTATTTTAAGGTCAGTTTTTTTGACTTGTTCTTATTAATGTTTCATCATTAAGACCCTCACGGCTGTTCTAAGTATTTGTTAAAGAGCTTAATTTTTCAGCCATTTCCTTTTAATAGGTGGATTCATTATGAGGACCTTTTCCGAAAACTATTTCATAGTTTTTATATGACCTTATTATTTTCGTTTATCGCCTCGATTTGATTTGTACGCAATTGTGTCCACTGGAGAATTTCGTGAGATGCACAGGGCACCCAACCGACTTGATCTATCRTGTAAACAGTTTAAAAATACAATTCCACACTTTAGTTGAAGGCAATCAATCCACGACATCCAGCTTTGTAAGGCTATTAGGGACCGCCAGGGGCCGATATAGAGTCGATATCAATCAAGAAACGTCTAATGTTTTATCACGCAATATTAGCCTAGTGGCTTCATTTGCTGATTGGTTCACTAGTTAGGCTTTTCTTTTCCCTTTTCTATGAATATCGTTTCTTGTAGTATATTTTTACCCAGTTGTCATTTATAATCTCTTCTCAACGACAGGGAGTCAAAGGACGAAAGATGGTGAATCCTGATAAAATGCATAGTTTGATTTTGAGCTCCAAAAGAAATTTTTTGTAGTTTTTTATCGCAGTGCTTGTGATCCTCATCAAAATACCCTGATTATTCTTTGCCATATGTTAAAACGGCGATCTAGAAAAGCTCACTTCTTCGAGTAGGTCTATTTTGGCTTGTTGCCTGGCAGAGTTATTTAAAATTGCATGGTCAGTGAAATCATCCAGTTGAGAAAATTCAATTCCAATGTCAAGTGCATGATGTCGATAAGATATTATCGTATTTGAATTATTGACAGCACCGCCRTTCAACAAAGTTTGTGTGTGTATGTGTGTTTTATTTGTTTTGGTCAGACAAAATTYGCATTTCCCCGAAGTAAGAGTTCGTCTCTATTAAAAAATATCACAAGGTCAAATATATTTTGTTCTGTTTTGGTTTTATTCATTTTTTTACTATTTGACAATAACCAATGAGACGATAGTTGGTGGTTTTTCGACCTATTTTCGTTATTGACATAACAGAACAACTCAAATGACAGCTGCTACTGCTGTCTGAACTATTGTACTTTATAGTGTAGTACAAAGTAACCACAACGCGACGTTATTTATTATTTTCAGATACTGGTCTGCATTACGACTTTGCTGGATATCACGGCAAGGACGCCTTGAAAACCCATATGGACGATTAATCCCTAAATGGAGAGACTTGTGCATGTTGAGGCTTCTACAGGCCTTTCTTCAATCAGCGCCACAAGCCGTATTCCAGCTATATGTCCTTTGTCGTAAAGGTACATTTGTAGTTGCAGACGACCTGGTGATTGCCATTGCTGCGGTAACGTCTCTTATTGCTGTAGTCTGGTCACTTGTGTGTTATAGTAAAGCGTTAAGAGATCTTCGAGATAACGCCAAAGATCTTCCATGGGTAGGCTTCACTTGCCAAGTCCTTTGGCGGGCTTTTATGGTTAGCTCAAGAGTTGTAGCTTTAGTACTTTTCGCGTCACATTTTCAGCATTGGATGCTACTGGCTGTATTGGGTCATTGGATGCTAATGGCAATGTGGCTTGCATGTCAAAGAACTCAGTTTTGTATTGATGAGAGTGGACGAGAGCACCCGTGCAAAGAGAGGATCTTCAATTGTATCATCGCATTTATTTATGTTTTTTGTTTCTTCAACACCAAAGAGGGAATGACGCGTAAACGAATCGTCTTGTTTTATTCTGTTATGTTAGTCGAGAACTCACTGTTGATTTCTATGTGGTACCCAAACAGAAACTTAAACTCGATTTGGACATACGCCGCTTTGTCTGTAGTGTGGGGTGGATTCATATTGGGCGTGGTCTTTATGATTCTCTATTACAAGTTTTATCATCACAGCCATGCATTYAAAGGTCTGTTTATTCGTACAAAGACGTTTAATCTACATGGAAGAAAAATGTACGGCTTGTATTTCTGCTGCTGTTGTCGTCTAAGAAAGTGGGACGTTGCTATTTAYGATTGTAGAGATAGTAGTGGAGAACTTTCTCCGAGACRTGACCAAGCTGTACCAACTAATAGACCAAATGGTAACAATCCTTAHGACGGTAACCTACACTGGGACAACGATGACATACAAATGCGACCTTTGAATGGTTCTTGTATACGAGCTGGTGGTAATGTCGASCAAGAAGTGTTAATTCAACACCCGTTTGTGCCRGAGGATGATTTTGTTCCTAATATTGTGGTCACTGCGGCTTCACCTTTAGTTTTAAGTCCTCAYGAATCTGTCGGTAAACTGTCTTTGGAGCARGCGATGCCAGAACAAGATCCTGTGAACGAACCTGGCGACCCACCCCTCTCACCAGGACAAACATCACTAGACAAAGCTAGAGAAATTCTTGCTTCAAAGCTTAGTAAAGACAATRACAGTAATGAAGATGCTAACGAAGATGAAGAGGAAATTCCCAAAATAAACTACGGTACCGTAAGCTTTGGTAATCGATATAGTCTCGTGTCTTCGGATTGCATTTCCATCTCGTCAGAAAGTAGTCTAAGCTCGTTCACTAATAGTTTGAATGATTTACTGGATCGCATGGGCGTYGCTCCAAAGAACGAGACGGACCGACAAGTAAAATTAAAGATCTCACCTGCTGACGAAGGAATATATTCCGACGAGCGTGAATCTCCTTCCAAGTCACGTGAYACGGAAAGTGAGCCATCGCCATCCCATAATGCACAGTCAGGTGATAACATGGTCAACGGGCTGATTGYCACGCCCAAGGATTCTCCACGAAAAGACGAATCGTTCGACGTCCTCGAATCGATGATGGATGCACCGTCATCACCGTACGTCACCAAGAGAAAACGATCACGTGATAGAGACGAAGGGAGCGAGAGTGAATCAACTGAYGCTAGCAGTGATGATAGGGAAAGACGACATTCATGCGAAGATTTAGACTTCTCTTTCATCCATTCCACGCCAAATGAAGATAAAACTAAGAGACATTCWCTCGACATTGCTGATCTTTCGTCCAACTATAAGCGAGTAAAGAAGAAGGGGAGGAATAAACGGCGTTTTAACAAAATTATCATATTCGATAATTTTGTATCAAGTGCCCTAAAACCAGGGAAATTCGGCTCTCTAAGAAAGTCATATGAAAGACTCTCCAAGATACAAGAAGACACAGAAGAATCAGGGTTGCTTAGCAACGATTCACTGAAAGAAAACCGCGATCCACAATATAATAACGACTTGTCGGTACGCAACCAAGAAGAGGTTAAAAATATAGAACCCAGTTTCCACGATGACAGCTCTTCGACAGAACACAATAACTTTACMATGAACAAAATTATTCATGAAAATGAAWYTGAAGAAGATATCATCGATGATAAACAAATCATTGAAAGTTTATCGCCAGGGCAGGACAACATTATTGGAAAAGTTGATAAAGGTAATCSTTTGGATAGTGCAATACMGGAGCTCGTAGAAGATAAAACACMGATAAACACTAATAATACAAACTTGAATGGAGAACTAAATTACAGTACAGACAGCGAAAGGTCGAGCGACGATCTGTCAGACAAGAGTTTTAGCCTTATTGAAAACTTGGTCCCATCGAGGTTTTCAACTGTACGCCGATCTAATGAAAACGTTCCTTTAGCATGTTGTGAGGACTTTGATGATGATTTGGGAAGCTCAATAGAAGATGATATAAACATGGAAAATGAAAATCTCCCCAGAATAGTCTCGCCTCCTTCGGAAAAAGATATCTCATTGCAGCGACATTGGAGTGTGGACTCGATTGCTGACTCTGAATCAAGCCGAGAGTCACCAAAAGAGAMTATTAATCGATCTWTTGCTAGTAGTGGCTCATCAATATTTGAAAACATCTTATTCTTAGACAATGAACAAAATGCTTTATCAGAAGCTCAAACAAAGAAACGTCATACATTTGACTTTGGCGCTCACAGAAAAGCTACAGCACGACCTTGTATAGTCAAGAGATTGGGGTCTAGTTCTTCTCAATTTAATTTGCCGCGCAATCCAAGTCCAATATGGGTCCGGAAAGCTATCCCTACACACAGACGACGAAGACCAAAAACTACCGCACAAAAGAACCAAAACAATGACAATGCCAAGGAGTTTATTCAAGAAGTTAGAGTTTAGTTCCAAATTTGACAACACTACAGGGGTGTATCCAGGATTTTCATTGGGGGTTGGGGGGTCCTTACATACCAAATTGTCACTGTGACGTCATATGACGTCAATATGATGTCGTATCAATCTATGGTTTTCTCGCTTTTTTGGCTTTGAAAGGGGGGGGGGGGGTGGTCACGGGCACCCTGTGACCCTTCCCTGGATACGCCCCTGCACTAAAAAAGAAATTATTCGCTGGCGTACTCTTAACTAGATTGTGATCCATTTTTTATGTTTTTTGATGTGGTAAATATCTGTACGTGCTGAGGGAAGACTCCCTTTATCTCGTTTTGATTTCTTGAGCATATGATAAGTATATCGCRTTTGTGGGCAATCAAAACCAAAAGATATCGCTATTCTAAGCTATCGACCTATCTACTGACAACAACCGGAGCGTTCATTACATCTAAAGAGCGTAAGAGATGCGCTCAATCTACAGTCTCCTCTAGCAGCCGTTATGAGGCTCGTTCCCAGGTCTCTCCTCTGGCTGCGAGAGGAGACTATGAGACCTCGGTATTGGCATTATACTCCAGTTTCGAATTCTCTTTTGTGCAAGTTTAGCTTCAATCAAGCATAAATTTTTATTGTCTTCTTTGTAAGAGTATATTACATGCTTTCGAGATTAAGGCTGGATTTCGAAACTGGAGTATTGGCAAATCACACCGTGGATTTTCACAGTTTTAATCCATACGCTATTTTGATATGTTTTTTTTTTTGCTATTTTATTTAATTATTTAAGTTTTACTATGACATACAAAGCAAAGTAAACTGCACTTTTTTGTAGAGAGATTGTTTTGTAGCTAGTGAAGATTTCTGATGTATATAAAGGTAAGAAGCCAATATCTGTACATAGTTTTCCCTTGAAACCCTGTCATTCATCCATAGATCGATTTATGATGGTAAATCACAGTCAAGAATTAAAGTTTTTATAATAAATTAAAGTATTTTTTCGTCTCGTTTTTGATTTGCTGGGTTATTGTTTCCCCTGTTCCCAGTCTGCATAAGTACTAAGTAATCGACGCGCATTTTCTGACTCTTCCACTTGATTAATGTTAAGACGCTACCCTGGTTCCAGAGGCTTGTCTTTTACTTTTGCTTACTATGTTGTTGCGAAGCCGCTTTTCGTAGAAACAAACCGATTAACGAAAACGTTTCGCCGCTTGGCGGCTCGACGACATAGTAAGCAAAAGATAAAAGGCAAGCCTCTAGAACCAGGATATGAAATGTGTACGAGTTATGGATATTTATAGCAATATTGTACTTTTTCAAGTAAAAATATACCAGTGATGTTATACACTTTAAAACCAATCGCATGAGCGGCCTTCAGATCCATAAATACCGCCGGAAGACACTAAACAAGCTGTTCTACTGTAACAGGGGCGGCAGAGCGTKTTTGGCCCTAGGGGGGCTAAGAAGATTAATGAATATTGTGGTCAAGAAATTTCTGTTTTATATTCTTCAAGCTTTCTTTTGCAGCAGTAAATATAACTGTTAATGAATTACATTACAGGAAAATACAACGAACTTTTATCATGAAACAAAATTAATTTTTCGAAAATACTGGGGGGGGGGGCTGCAGCCCCCCCGGTTCCGCCGCCCCTGTGTAAACGCATCAACTGAGATCAGAGCTTCGCAGGTAATAAGTATCTTGTGTATAAACTCGTATCAAGTACATGAATAGATGCTTGGAAGTCGTCATACAGTGAGGACACGCAAAAATAGTCCTGTCCAGCCTCAGTCACCTGTGGTTCCACTCTTTCTTCAACATACGCATATACTTAACAGAGGCTTAGACATCTTTTTGAATATTACTTCTTCCAAATAACAACATCTATTTCTCTTTCAGACTAAATGAAGACGCTCAGGCCATAGAGGAGTTTCGTTTAATAGCGCTATTAAACGAAACTCCTCTATGGCCTGAGCGTCTTCATTTAGTTTGTACGTTTCTAAATACTATGCTACATAATACAAAGATTCTATTGAAAGAACTCTTTCTCTGGAATAAATGCCGTTTCGGTGAAATAAAATGGAAATTACAGGCGCATTCTGTAGTAGGAGGGAGACTGGTGTMGAATCGTTGCGTGGTTACCAAGGGGTGCCAGGTAAGCAACAAACAAACGTGTTTGTGTAAGGTCTCTGCAAAAATATCGCTTTTTCTCAATAAGTTTATTCAATAATAACAGCCGAAATCATGTCTGCAAGTAGAAAAGAAGAAGACTTTGAAATCACGAAGGAGGTGAGTCAAATAGGGGATTCACATACAGTATTTGAGGTGTGGTTGTCGAGCCTCGTGATATGTTGTTGTTCTGCTAGTTGTAGCTGGTCACAAACTCTAGTATTGTCGTTTGTAGAAATCTAGGTCAGTGTAAATGATAAACTTACTTTTAGCCTCTCCCTMTAAATTTCTTAAGAGTCTTTTTATGAAATGCGATTTGTTTCTTTTGCTACTGTTGTTTTTAATTTGTTATTTTAAAAACTTCTTTTAGCACGAGCTATGTACATGTAAAAATTACTTTACTTATTTGTACATGCCACTATTTGAAGCTTTTATAAATTACTGCCCCAAAAGCTTGTTTAATTTCTATTTCTTCTCGACTTAAGCTTATTTTAGGCATGTATTTATAAAAAATGCCAATGTTTTTAGGTGATCACTTTTAAACAGTTGTTGTGGTGTAATTRCAAACGTGGTACATGTAAGATTTGATAGTCTAGGTAGAGACGATAGCTGAGTAAAGACTTGTGCAGGGACAAAAGCAGTGCTAGTGCAAGGGTGACAATAGTACAGAATATCATGAGTCAGTTTAATGTTTAAGTTTTAATGAAAACAAAAAATAAAGCAACAGCCATCACCTTACTGTGTGGATCTCAAATTAGTGTGGAACTTGTAGAGAAGATCAAGGCAGTGTCGAGGCAGAGAGAATAGTAGACATACTAGTTTGATACAGTAGGTATTTGATTCACTCACAGTTATCACAATTTATTTTAAATACCAGGAGCTTGACAAGTTTCAGAAAGCTATGGAAAATGAAGAGTTTCGCAAGCTGCTTCTTGAATATGCTCAAGAAATATCAGATCCYGAAAACAAGAAAGTATGTCCATCATATTTTCGTACAGTTTATATGTATCAGCTCTGTGTTTGATTGTGATGATTAGAAGTCATCTTTTTGATGACCGATGACAAGTGATTCACTTTAACAACAAATTGTTAAATATGGATAATTATTAATCCATTATTTTCATTAGTTATCATTTAATGATGACAGGCTAAAGTCCTAATGCATCAAGAATTATTATTAATCATTTGGCATGGTCATGATCTGTCTTAACCAAGACTGTACTGCTATGATAGAGGATGGTCAGCAGAAAAGGCAGACTCTTCCCMCTGCTCATACTATGCAGTATATTTATTTGATATCAATCAGGTTAATAATGTAACATGATTTCAATTTACATTACAATATAAATTCCTTGTAGAAATATGAAGAAGAAATTTYACAGATGGAGAAGGAAAGAGGGATGGACATTAAATTTGTCAACCCAGAGGTACAGTACACCATTCTTTCCATATTAATTACATTCCAGAATACTGTACAATGTTATGGATGAACCTAGATGATTTTAACGGTTTYATTGTTATTATTTTATTTGAAATACCATAGTATTTTGTTGTCTCACAAAACCTGTGTAATTTAGGGTGGGTTTGTGGTCAAAACTACCAGAGTCAAAGATGGTCTCAAGGCTTTTGTAAATATCTGCTACAATGAACATGTACAAAAAGCTTCCTCTCAATATACAGAAAAGGAAGAGAATGGTATAAGGTAATATTCTCTCAATCATGGGTGGCAAAGTGATTGTACACCCTTTTATGTTAATTTATTGTTTGAATAGCCAACTTGCAARTTTMGSCTCAGTAGTCAAACACAAAAGAACCAAGATGASGCGCCGTGCATAAAGCTCAGTCAATTGTGAAAAACTRTTRTCTTTTCATGAWTRACTGAGCTTTATGCACAGTGACTCRTCTTGATTMCTTTGTGTGTGACTACTAAGGCAAGTGCTATATAAAATTTCTTGTCATCCATGATGCCACTAGTCAAAGGGGAATATCGTGAACAGAAACACAAGCCACAGTCATAGCATGACATATAATGCACAAAAAAATTTTCTTTTGAAATTATCATTAAATTATACCTATAATTTCTTGTAAAAAAGTTAATTCCTTCAATCTTTCATATAACTTTACATGACAAATCAACTTTATKTAGGAAAAAAGGTGAGCAATGGAGTATACCTTTCAGCCTGTCACAACCAAGAGATGATTTTGATAATGGTAACTAACTGTATTTCTAATTACTGGATAGTCATTTCACAGTGTTTTGCACAAAAACTCAACAAGTTTATTCTATTATTATTATTTACAGCTGGTAAAAAATGTGTGGTGTTTGATGTAGTGTTCAACCCAGAAACTTACCAAAAAGGCCAACAGGTATCCTCATACATGTATAGCTCATGACTTTGTACTTTGTACATGYTGAGTAATGATTTGTACATATTATTTTGCTCTAGGAGCCACGTTTTAAAGAAACAATGATAAACACAGCACTGGATGGAATTCAAAAACAACTTAATGTCAAATTGAATAATAAAAGTAAGTGCTAAAAACAATAAGAATAAAGTCACATATGTGAAATAACAGGATTGAACATTATAAGCCCTGTCATGATACCTAATACTGTATTGAACACACTCACTCTCTCTTGTACATTTTTCAGTTACGTACATGTAGTTCTTCATATTTTTCATATTTATAATAATCTGTTCTTTTTAGATTTAAAGTTTCCCAAGTTAAAATTYAAAGGTGTAAAGCAGGCAACAGTAATCAGAACCAAAAGTAAAGATGAGGTGATGTTCTACTACTCTATAATTTTATTAAAMCTTTCGTGCCAGGCTTTCTCTGGTTACTCCTGTCTTATATGTGTAAGGAAGCAAAATGCTAAAAGATATTTTTTTAATTGTCTTTAGAGAGGATTGTGTTTGCAACAAGTGCTTAAATAAGTGCCAAAAGTGCTAAACTGTTAATRTTYTATTTGTTTTTGTTCCCAGCAAACACAAAAGGTTGCWGACAACAATGTCAACATTGRAGGACAATCATTCCCTTATCCCTACCCTAGTGAACCCCTTCATGATAATAAAAAACATAAAGCAAAAACCAATACTATAATAGAGAATGATAGTAATCAAAGCAAGGAAGAACAGCAACCTGAGACAAAAAATGAACCAGTCTACAGCATTGTACATCGTGGAGTCATTGATTTCCAGAATTTTACCAATGCCAGGTATGATTCRAAATGAAACATCTATGTATTGCTACTGCAATTTGCAGGCTTCTTAGCAGAAACAAGAATGCCTACTTTGAACAACTTGACTAAGACAAATAGTCATTGTTTAATATGTACATGGTTTTTGCTTAGGTTTGTCATACTTCACCAACATACATTATTTCCAATAGCCAGCATGCCATAATGCCAKTTGTACAACAAAATATGGTAGTTCTCCTCTTTTTAATTTCTACTGAAAAAAAATCTTTTGTGTCATTTCTGTACAAGAAACATTAAACTACATTTTAGGGAGAGTTTTTGAGCTGTTAAAATAGTGGCACTGTACATTTCCTATCTGGAWTTTTTTTTCTTGTAGAGATTCCTGTACCAGTACCAGACCAAAGGAACTTGTTGTTACTATTCAACTTCCAAAATTGGTATGTTTACATCAAAGACACAAACTTAAAGTATTTCTAATGACAATTTTTTTTATGTACTTTTTAATATGATAGATTAATGTTGTGCAAATGTAATTAGAAATCTACAGGAACTGTTGAGCTTGATATAAGTGAGAAGCAGCTCATCTTACACAATGATGAACCCATTTACCATCTAGATATATCCTTGAATATTAAGCATTGTAATTCTTTGTGTTTGTCTATGTCAAGGACTTCCATCATGAGCTACACCTTAGTCTCAATCTTCAAACTTACCTTTTAGAAAATCCSATGATAATAGCAAAACGTCTAGTAATTACCATTGTTTTTTAACATAAAGCTAGTGTCAAAAATACATGTTTTTCAATTATTAGCAAAGAATGTGTTTGTTTAAGTTCATTTGGTAGTTTTCTTGCTATTCTTGTGAGTGCACCTTAACATTGTCTACTTAGCTTTACCCTACACTGTTGATGAGGCTAATGGTCATGCCAAGTTTGACAAAAGTAGACGAGAACTTGTTGTAACCTTACCAGTCCTTGCAATTCTTCCTCATGATTATCCTACAATCACTAATGAAACAACAAACAAAGTACCAGATTACCAGGATAACAACAAAACTGATATCATAGACAATGCAAACTATGATATAMAAACAACAGATATCACTAACAATGATGATAAATCTAGTGACTTTAATTCTATGGGCAAAGAAGTAGAGTCCAATGAATTTATCAACGGAGGTGTAGACATTGAAATAAATAAGACACAGAATGMTGGAGAGACCTTAGATTCAACAAGTGTCGAAGGGTTTGTACTCATGGATGATATTATACAAGTAGATCAAACTGATGAAGGATTGATGTACACAACAACAGAACTAAACTCCCAGGATTTGCAGTTGGAAATAACTTCAGATCTTTCAGGTGACTTGGATGCCATTGTGAATATCGTCTACTGTACATGGTAAAGAGAGTGACATGAAGTATCATTGTTTTTTGTAGATATGTCCTCTCCTTTCTTCTTCAAGTCACCACCATACACKTACCACCAAGACATGGATACGGTGACATTGGTTGTTCATGTTCCTGGGGTTGCTATGGAGAATGTCTCCCTTGGGTTTAATGAGAATAAGGTGAGATATTTTATAATATTATCGATAATTATTTCTTTTCTTGTTAATTTTATTCTTTGTAATAATCACCTTTTTTATTGTCTTCTTCATGATTTTAGTTCAGTTTCTATCTTCATTATCTCATTYAATTTTTTAATCATTGGTCACAACTATAGAGGAACGATGACAGAACAATTATCATCATCATCTTGGTGATTGTGACATCATCAGCACATCCATTATCGTTATCCACATCGTCCTTTTCATTATATTCAATACACCGTATAACAGTTATTATTACACTATTATTAATCATTAAGCTATATTTTACAGTGTTACATCAATTTTCCATCTGAGAAGGCAACAACTAATCAYCTACCAGCTCCAGACTACGCCTTGTACATCACATTTCCTGAAGGACATGATCTTGCTGCAGATAACTGTCACATTGATGTAACTGAGGACAACCTCGTACTCACCTTGGCAAAGGATGATGCTTGCAAAGGATTGTGGGATGGATTTAAAGCGGGACCTGGAGAGGAGGAACTGGAGGTTTGTTAGTGGTGATTGACATACTCTTTTAATTTGTTCCATAATTGTTGCAATAGCGTCCTTGCTTGATGGCAGTTTGTTTTGAATTTTTAGCTGGAGAGAATTTTGAATCCACATTAATTTTCTATTTTTTAGTGATTGAGCGGAAGGAGTGTCTCCTTATAAATGACCCCATTCTTTTGGCTTTTTTCAAATATTTTTTAAAGAACACACACGCGACGAAATAGAGATAACTTGATAAATGGTGTTTTGTTTATTGTTGCAGGATAAGTTTTTTATCACCGATAATAATGTTGAATTAATGATGGAAGAAATAGCCGAGCAAGACCCATGGGTAAGGGACTGGAACTAGTAGAAATCAGCGTCAAGTTGGTAGTTTTTATTGCGTCAAATCTCCAACATTTTTTCTCAATTTGATGTTGTTCTTATTGTATATTCTTATGTTCGTGGAAATGAAGYTGGGCGCGTTTTCTTAGTTTCAAGTGTTAACGAAGATTTCTGTGAATTACTAATGCAATGCAAGTTTTTATCTCGCTAGAATTTTTTCGCTAAATGAGGGATATCTTATGTCTGTAAACCTGTCAAAGTGTACCTGCTTTGCCGTAGATTTGAYTGTCTAGCAGTCCAAGGGCGGGTACCAGTGCTGTATCAATCAGCGTTATTCATCGTATCTCTATCTATCTTCCTATTTCAGGCCCAACAAACATGCTACTCATCAGATGTCAAAGTCCTTTCAGTAGCAGATGATCAGTTGACTGTTCAACTTCGCGAAAATCGTTCAGACGCCGATGACCAGGATACTCCCATAAACGGCCACGTGCACCAACAACACAAAGGTCAACACAAAGACATATCCAATAAAAACTCCATGGAATCCGTAAAGCTCGAGAATCTGGATTTGAAAGAAGGAATTTTGTCCAACAAGATGCAGGAATTAAAATTACAGAAATTAACGAGTCCTGATGAAGGAATAGTACACGATATGTACAGCCATGAGAGACGTGAAAAATACTCGTATGGATTAACAGAACGTATTGCTGCCTCGACGGACCCTAAATTAGTCCAAGATCACGGTCATAAAACAAATACCGACGAAAGACGAAAAAATCGGTCAGATAGTACTGACTCAATATCTTCCGACCGGTCAGATTCATGCGACGGACGGCGGAAGAGCCGGTCCGATAGTTTGGACTCAGTATCATCCGATCGGTCGGATTTGACATCGTCCAATACTATTCCTGCCAGAAAGTCGTGCATGCGCCGTAGTTCCAGCACCTCAACTGATGATGACACTGATTATGAAATAAACAACGCAATGTCTCCTAGCAACGGGTCGTGGGGATCTCCAGGGAAACGTAATGTTCGTTTCAACCTTAACCCAAGTGTTCGCGTGTTTAGTAATAAAAAAGATAAGCAAAGATGGAAAATGGAGCAACGACTGAAAAAYCAAAAGATCTCTATGCGCGACAATGGTGAAGACAAAATTGAGAAAGAAGCAACCATTCATGAAGAAGGAAGCGCCTGGCAAGACGAAGTGGAGCCGAACATTACAACACGTCAAGACAGTGAAAGCAGTGTGGATGATGAATGGACAATGGTAGATAAACCTTCAGACAGTAGCTTGTCAAATAATTTAATTTTTGAGCTTGATGAGTAGTAATGACAATTATCAAAGTCATGACTTTGTAAAAAAGCTAATATAATTAATAGATGTAATATAGGAAGTTTTTCCTTGTGATGACACATTAAATCTTTCGGCTGAAAAGCGTTTTTAAGTATTTTTACATCATGCAATCAGAACTTTATGTTTGCAGCTGTGGCGGAAATTCCCATCAGGCATATCGTTTGAGTCGATTGAATGACAGGTGTGCTTCAGCTAAAATAACATCGATTATCTGTATGTTTTGCTGAAAACCTCGTCTAGTTTTGTCATGATTAGTGTTGGTGATTTATGATTCATATCAACATGAGACATGAGTTCATGGAAACAACTATCGCAGATATGATAAWTTTTTTCCAGATCGATATTTAGCTGTGTGACTATCATTCTTTAATCCCTCATAATACAGGTTAGTCGAGACTACGCCTTGTTTTGGATAGGTCTGCATTCACCCTTCAACTGTCCCCTGTGGACTTGGGGCTCAAAATGAAACATGAATACAACAGCACAAAACATTACTGTTGACGAGGGCGTGGTCTTAGCGGAGCTCAGACACAAGCAAAGAGTTCTTTTAGATCCTATTTGAAAACAGGAACTCTTACTTCAATAAATCCAGATACCAAAGATTGTTTTCGACAGTACATTGACTCGGTGCGCGTCAGTCTTCCGTGCAATGACTCTGCAAAAATGTTTTGTATATGGGATTCCTGTGTTATACAATAAAATCTGACAAGTCTAAATGCATACAATGTATTCAGATGACCTGGTTTCTAGTGGTAAATGAATTGAGTGGGAAAATAACAATCGTGTCAAAGACCCAAACTATTCTCATGTCTTCTGAATCTGGTTTCTCCCGCTCTTTCTTATTRACACAGGAATCCCGATCACGATTCTCCTTGGATTCATAAACAACATTCTTTGATTGATTAGAAGAGTTCACTTTGCATTCCACCAATTCTTGCTAGTTTAACTTACAAAAATTGCTAATTTGCGACTATGGTAGAAAAATATCAAATTTCTAATGTAGTAACTTATTTTCTTTCATTGGTACGTATAATTAGGTGAGTAAAGAAGTAAAATATATGTTTTCAAAGTTCGAGGAGGATTAAATTCTCCTAACATAGCATGTAGTGTGAACATCCGGAAATAGCGCCCAGGCCTTGCAGAGCATTATAAATTCAGGGAAGGTATTTGTGTATTGTAAACTTCGTCGTCCTGGGAAAAATACGTGTATTGTGTGGAATATTTTTCTATAGGCGATTAATTAGCAAATGCTTTTATTAAGACTGAGTCAAAAGCTTTAATAAGTTTGTTTGTGGGACTGCGCGCCGTCGTTGGACCACAGCATCTCGAGTTGCATTTACATCAGGATCAAGATCTGTTGAAAAGGAACTACCGTGAATCCAAGACACCATGTCCAAGCCAATTGGTGTTAGTGTGCCAGACTCAGAAACCCTTAGTTCCGAGTCAAAGTCCAAACGCTTCACGGTAAGCAGTGAGGAGTTGTGGCCATCCTGTTATAGTTATAGTTTGGTCATGTTCTCCGAGCATCGGTCATGCCACTGGGCCGTGTTTGTTTTTGCTCCTTCGGGTCAAAGGAATAATTAACTGCCTAAACGATTGGTAGCATTGGGATTTTAAAGATCATCGCTAATTTATTTTCGTTTGTCGAGGGACCAGTGAAAATGTCCCGTGTTGAGATACAACCCTGGCTTTAAGCGAATCAACCAGAATTGGGGCGTGCATGTTAAGTGACCGTGTGTGCATGTGATCAAAAAGTGCAGTACCAACCGGTACAAGGCTCTTGTTACATTTCAAAATGTACAAACATTCTTGTACCTTACCTTAGCATTGTCCAAAATGAATCAATTTTACGAATTTTGCTTGTTTTGCATCTTGACGACCGCTTCACTTTACCAAGTTTGTTCCTCTACACTCGCGCTCTTGGTGTTATTCAAACGTGTACATTTCAGATGTGAGTTCGGCTTATTTGAAATCGATCAAAGTTTTTCTTTGTGGTCGAGGTAATACTTGCCAGATTTACTTAAAACGTTAGCTCAGTTAGTTAATTAAGATCGTGCTTGAGACATTTCTTAAATCTTTCCTAAAGATATGATTAAAACTGGAATCGCACCCTCACAGCGGAAACGCTGAGAAGCAGAGTATTGCTACATAAAGATGTAAACTTACTATTCTTTCAAATCCCAAATCTAGCATCTCAATTCGAAGTCAACAGGATTTTAGCTTCCCTACTCATAGAAAGCCGTCATCACGGTTGACATCTCTGATAAGTTTGGCTTGTATGCTGAGGATTTCTGAAACGGTATTTGTTTGTCTGCACTTTTGAATAATCCACTTTGAATCATAGCAGTGATCATCTATGAAGTCATTTGCGGCTTATGGATGAAAAAAGAATTGAAATTACACACGATTGTATTGAATGCTTTTATTCAGACTTAAATTGCGAATAAAAAATTTCTATAGAAAAACCTCCTTTTGTCCCTTTTTATTCATTTTTTTTCTGTTAGTTCATTAATGACAAGGAAGGTCAAGATGTGAAATATTGCAGTGTAACCAATCTTGATTTAGACAAGGTTTTTTTCTCTGGTTTTCTTGTTTGGTTTTATTATTTCGCTTGACAGTTTTGTATGCATTATATTATTGTAACATCTTTAGAGAAAGTGAGTTTATAATTAGCAAGTTCCAGTATTTTTGATGAGTGCACATTTGTGTGTCACCAAAGCACAAACACATTATGATATACATAGCTTTTTTGGTTATTTGTATTCTTAGAGATATTGATATTTACCCTAGATATTTAGTATGACTGGCTAGTTGTATCTGGCAAATAATTAACTAAATTAACAGAAATATTATGCAATGTTATAGATTACGTTTGCCTTCTTGTTTTGCAATTATGGGTATCATCTCACTTGTCATTGATTTTGTGCTTATCATGTACACAAATAGATCATATCTCTATAATCCYGGTGTTTACAGTAATGTAATAGGGTATGATATTTACGAATAAGCTCCTCCCCTAAATTATTACCTCCCTTGAATCTTTTATTTTGTCTAAACCATGCACCTTGGGTGTGGATGGGACCTGGGAAATAAGGGGTTTGGTTTACTTATTGAAAGAATTGTGTAACTAAAAGAGCAAATCAGTTCTTAGAAAGCACTGACAATTTAACTACAGAAAATTATACAATATTTTTATTCAATTAAGCTTCTCACCCAATATGTGCCCATGAAAATAACTAAGAARTGTTGCTTATTCAAGTAAAATATTTAAATGACATATTTTGCCTGCAACCTGTTCTCTCAATTACCACACCATTATATCAGTCAGATTCATGTACATAGCAATGACTTTTACCTACAATTCACACTTCGTTATTAGATTTTGCAGTTATTTATTGTTTTTCTGTTATCTGCCACTTATTAAAGGCTAATTCTCTACCACTGAGCTAAATGGTCAGCCGTTCACTAAAATCTCCAAAAATGATGGGTATCATTAACTGTCCATGATTTGTGATTTATGTTTTCTAAACAACAATTTTGTTTTTTTTTTAAAGGTTTATAAAGTACTCGTCAAATTGGACGGTAGAAGCTACTTTCTTTTCAGAAGATATAATGAATTCCATCATCTTTATGATAAGGTATTAATTGACATACTGGTTTTATTGCCACTTTATTGTATGCATCAAAGATTGATTATGATTATTATAATATCATACTGATGTATTTCAACTGTAACTGGTCAGTCAGCACTCAAAAGAGAATTAGCTTGACTTCAGCTGAGGCTTTGGATCTCATTTTTTTAACAGCTTAAAAAGACCTTCCCTGATCTCCAYATAAAGTTACCAGGCAAAAGGCTGTTGGGCAATAATTTTGATCCAGGTACTCTTGTTTTAGTTTGATATGTTTATTCTTATTATATTGTATAA